ACACACACACACATGTACACACACACACACACATATACACACACACACACACACACACAATGTACACACACACACACACACACACACACATGTACACACACACAACACACACACACACACACACACATACACATACACATGCACACACAAGCCCGCACATGCATACACATGCACACACAAGCCCGCACATGCATACTCACACACACATGCACACCCACTTACACACTAATACACTCACTAACACATAAAAACACACACATACACATAAAAACACCCATACATAGACACACATACATATAAAAACACCCATACATGGACACACACACACACACACGGTCAGAAAATTGATCATATTGTCCATCATATAATTATCTGCAAGTATAGGTGACCTATATGTATGCATTGACTTGTGAATACCTGTGGTTCCTTATCAGTAATATTTCGTGCTGATATGGCATTTGCTGAAAGGAGAATCTCTGGCGTGCTGACATCTAACACGTGTGTTTATTTATTTGTTTATCTATCTGTTTATGCATTTATCTTTTAACTTTTTCCCCCCTTGTCAAATTCTTCAGGCTTGTGGTTAATATACAACCTCACTCTACATATTCACAGCAGCTCCAATATTCTGGTGATGTATGTGTCTTTAAATGCTGATCATGCACTCGTTAAGAAAAGAGAAATAAAACACAAAACTGTGAACAGTGTAATCAGAGACAGAATAGTCAAAGGAATTCGTGCCCTTCCAGGTAGCATGCAGCAGCTGTTGATACTTGTACCGTAGACGTTGGAAGCATGGTATTTATGTGGCGTACTTAATATTTTTAGTCTGTAGTTGAGTTTGTGCTTGGATTTTGTGTTTTGTTGTGATGTATACTGCAAGTTTTTGATTGCCATAATGCCTATATTGCATCAATTTAGGTCTTCGGATTTACTTTTATGCTACCTCTTTATCTATAGGTATGATTTTTACTTTCTCGAGATAAATTTGTGGAGAGGAAGCAGGCATTGCATTTTTATCATTTATTATTTATGTTATTATTATTGTTATTGTTATTATTATTATTATTATTATTATTATTATTTTTATTATTATTGTTATTGTTATCATAAGATTAAAATTAATTTGTTAGACCTCTGTTATCCTTTATTAGTTGATTTAATGTTATCTCAGGAGGTGCACGCACATGCGCACACACACACACACACACACACACACACACACACACACACACACACACACACACACACACACACACACACACACACACACTGCACACACACTCTGCACACAATTTTGTAAATATACATTACATATTTATAGATAGGCACAAAGAAAAGGCTTACTAGAGCATAGAAGACAAAGAGAGAGCTCAACTACACCTTTGATTAGAGGGAAGAATGCGTATTTAAATAAAATCATGGGTGGTTGGAGGGGCATGTTGTATATGAATGGAAAAGGAAGAGAGAATGGAAAGAAATAGCTTAAGGATATAAGGGGGGGGGGGGAAAGCAATGATTTTTAAATACATGTATATATATATAGACCAAAGAAAAGATCAATAGTGTTTATTTTTGAAGTTTGCAGATTATTTGTTTCTGGATCATGTGTGTAGAGTGAAAATTCTTTCCTTGTCATGGTTTCGTAATGGGGGAAAAAAAGAAAAGAAAACTAATGACCGTAGGTATGCGAATTTTATTCTTTTAATGCTGTCAGAGGTAGACCACTCAAAGGGTGTGAACGTTAAAATCCATCAGCATTTTAATAAAGCGGGAATGTCGAGCTGTTTGTGATGGAAGTTTACAAGTACAAGTGCTGTCGTCTAAATAAATAGCAGCTACTCGTTTACATTTTCTTGGTGGATAGGAGTAGCAGGTGTGTAAGGCTTTGATATTCAAGAAAATAGTGCGTGATACCAAGTTTTGTTAAAGCACAAAAAGTGCCTGTTTTTTATGTTTTGATTTTGACCCTTGACAAAATTTTAGGTTGAGAAACAGGGTGGTTTTTATACCTGATATTTAATAAGAGTTGGCCATGTTATGTGTTTTTTTTTTTCCTTTAGTAATAAATTTATTATGTGTTTGTATTCTTTTTTTACATATATAATTTTTTTTTATACAGACTGGTATTAATACATGAGTCTAGGAAAGATCATTTTCTTTCATATTTTTATTTCGTTTCTTTGTTTATGATTATTAGCCTTTTTTGTGCTACTTTTTATCATTATTGTTATTATATTTGCATGTATTTGTGTCGCCCACATAGAAGATTTGAAAGTAGAAGAAATATACACAGTCTAGTCGTAAGTTTTGATGTATTGTTAATTTTGTGTTGTAACGATTGCAAGAAGGTAAGAAGCGGCTTTCTTTTTATATATAATTCTTTTGGATTGAATGCTTGATTATGCTTTTGTGTTGTGCTTTAGATTTTTGAGTTGTATGTAGCATTACCACTTTTTTTGTGTTCTTTTTTTTTCTTTTTTTTTTTTTTTAATTTATTATTTTTTGTTGTTGCTTTAAGATTAGCTTTATTTAATTTTTAGTTGTTTTATTTGTTTCTTTTTATTTACTTTTTTTTTTTTTTTTTTTTTTTTTTTTTTTTTTTTTTTTTTTTTTTTTTTTTTGGTGTGTTTATGTTTGCAGGTTGTGGTGTAGGCGTTTGGACTGTAGTAGGACTAAAGCCGCGTGTATGTTGTTGTGTAGTGTGTGGCTTACTGCATGATGGCTGCTACTGCTGCCTGGGAGGGAACTGGCCGCCCTCCCACGGATGAGCTCCAGACTCCCCCTGGTCGCTCAGCTCAGCCTCCCCAGGGAGCTTCTGCTGGCACCACTCCCACGTTGTTGCATGATTCTGCACAAAGCACTGCCAAGGATTCACCTGCTACCGGCAAAAAGGACGTTCGTTCCACTGTGAGAGTAACCGTGAATTTACCCGTCTCTACACCCACAGGCACCAAGCTGGCTGTGACCACAAGATCTGAGTCACCTGCGGGGGGTGAAGGTCTCAAGGTGGAGCCTAAGAATCTGGACCAAGAGAAAGAGATTGCCCTCAGTCAGCTGCAGGAGTTGGAGGAGGCCATTAAAGTGCGCAAGGTGTCCAAGGTAGACGGGCGAAAGATACGCTGGATTGAGTACCGTGCACGCAAGAAGCAGGAGGAGCAAGAGAAAGCGGCTGAAGCCAAAAAGAAGGGCCGCAGATCGAAAGGTGTTGAGAACAGTGAAAATGACTCGAGCATTGTAAATAACAACAACAACAACAAAAGTGAGAGCAACATGAAAGTCGAGGTAGTGTCTCCGCCACTGAGTGTGGTAGGGAGAAGCAATGTTTTGGAAAGCATGAAACAACAATTCTTACAGGGTACAGAAAATGTTGGTGAACCCATTGCTAATGGTAAAACTGACAATCAAACTGAAACCGCAGAAACAAATCAGAAAAGAAAATCTGGGCGGACTAGGAAATCTGTTAATACACAAAAAGGTTCAAGTCCAAAAGGAAACACCCCGAAGAACACAACACCAAAAGGCTCGACGCTAAAGGAGTCGAACGGTAAGGGTGTAAACCGTAGAAGTGCCACACCAAAAGGGGTAGCATCTAAAGGGGGACAAAAGGGAACGGTAAATACTCCAGACAGTTCAGCGACAAATAGTCCAGTTCTTGTTAATACACCAGCCGCAACTAGTCCACCAGCAACACCGATCACCCCAGACCAACCACTGTCTGCCAGTCTCAAAAAGCCTTTCTTCCCAGTAAGGTCTCTCACAAAAGGACTGCGGGAAGTTAGGAAAGTGGAGAATGGCGAAAGTCCAAAGAAAGCAGATGACCGTACACCTATTCCTGCTTCATCCCCCATCACACCGGTGTCAATTCCCACTTCAACACCTGTTTTATCTCAGCCAAAGACAGAACCAGGAACCAAATGTCCTCTCATAGCAGTAGCTGCGAGATTGCTTTCCCCTCCTTCGGCTAGGTCAAAGTCCTTAGACAACGCAAGAAGCAGGAAAGCAAACACAAGAGGTGGAGCCAAGAAGCCTAGTGGCAAAGCTGCAGAGAGGTCAGAGTCTGAACCAAGAAGTATTATGAATGGACATACCCTTGTGCAGAACGGACCATCTGAAGAGGAAGAATCCATATCTTTCAACGTATCCTCATCAGATGCTGAAGACAAGTGTGCAGAAGTAATAGAGGAAAAGACAGAAACAAATGTAGAACTTCAGTCATATCAAAATACAGAGGTTACAGTTGATGAAAAAGCAACGGAAGAGAACTTGGATGTGTCGGTAAAAGAGGAAGAAATTGAACCCAAGTCTGCAGATAGCACAGTAGATGGTGAGTTGCCAGATCTTGATAATTCATATGAATCAGATACTCCAAACAGAAGAGGTAGAGGACGCCCACCCAAGAGAAAATATGGGTCTGTTAAAAGTGTGGAAAGTGGTAGTTCTACAGGAAAGTCTAGTAAAAAATTATCAACTGTGGTTGTAGATGTCCATAATAGCATGAATGGTGAGCCACAGACTGTAGTTTCTGCATCCAAGCCTGCTCTACGTGGAAAGAAGACTTCGCCTGCAAAGAAATTGAAAAAGGGAACAGTTCTTCCAGGGGGCACAGATAATGAAGATACCAAAGATTCATCCCCAGCAAGTAAAATCCAAGCAAGATTATCAGATGACAGTACAGAGGGCAGTAGTCAAGCGAAAGATCTTGCACCTACTCCTTCTGTCACTGATGCCAAAAAGTCAAAATCCAGTGCAGGGAAAAAGCAGACTGTCTCGATTGTAGGAGAGGAAAAGGAAGATGATAACACAAGTGCCTCTATGAGCAATCAAACACCACAATTGCAAGAAAGCATTCAAAGTACAAAGTTGGTGAAAGGTGTTCAAAAAGTCATAAATCAAGAAGTGCCCTCAGAAGCTGAATCTGCAACTGCTACTGCTTCTAACAATGACTCAAAATCAGCAAGTAGTGTGAAGGAAAGTGGGAACATAGTTGAAGTTCATACCAAAAGGGAAAATGATACGGGAGATGTAGCTGATGGACAAAAGGAAAAGGAGGGGCTAGGGGTCTCGGAATCAGAAAATTTGACTGAGAAGGAAAGCTGCAAAAACAAGAGTGAAATTCCAGTTGAGAAAGCTAAGAAAGTTTCAAAGACACAAATGAAAAAGGGAGGCTCAGTCCCCAAAACTAGTGTTCAGGGATCAGGTCTTCAAGTTGGGGTAGAAAGAGAAAACACAAATAAAACTCCAGTGCCTGTTGGGAAGAGTAAAAAGGCATCAAAAACACAAACAAAGAAGAGTAGTGCAGGGGCAAAGGGAACAGTAACTCCAAAAGCAAGTGGGAAGAGTAGTCCTGCAAAGAAGAAAGTGGCAGGTCCATCAAAGAAGGCAAAGTCTCCCAAAAACACCCAGACGCCACATGCAAAGCCTCCTGAGCTAAACGCTGCCAAGAAACAAAAGGCTGTGGAGGAAGTCGAAACACTACATATTGAGCCAAATGAATCACCAACCGTTGAAAGGAAAGCAGAGGATGAAGCTGAAATAAAACGGCAAGAGGTAGCTGAGGAAGAAAGTGCAGTTAATGTAGATATAAAGGAATGCAAGGAAGCAGTAGAAGAGAACCGTGTGCAAAATGTGATAGAAGAGAAACCTGCTGAGTTACAGGTAGTTGAAGAATCACAAGTAAATAAAGAGATAGAACAAGTAAATAAAGAGATAGAACAAGTAAATAAAGAGACAGAACAAGTAAATAAAGAGACAGAACAGGTACATAAAGAGACAGAACAGGTACATAAAGAGACAGAACAGTTACATATAGAGACAGAACAAGTACAGAAAGAAACAGTACAAGTAAATAAAGAGACAGAACAAGATGTTCATGTAGTTGAAGAAGATAAAAACAAGAAGGTCATAGAAGATGTTAAAATTTTAGAGGATGAACCACCTGCAGAAGCTCAAAAGGAGGAGCAGCTTACCCTACAGGATGATGTTGAAATAAAGAGAGAGAATTTACTGAAGGAAAATAACAACTTGCCAGAAAAGCAGCCAGAATCTGAAGTACAAATTATGTCAGATGTCCAGGAGAATTTAAGTATTGTGAAAGTGGCGGAGGACAAAGAAGAGAATGACGCCAGCAAAGAGGAAAGTATTCCAGAGAATCCTGAGTTGGTGGTGGTTAATCAAGAAGAAAACATATCTGTTGAACAAACCCAAGAGTGTAGTATTATACCAAAGCAAAACGGAAGTATTGCATCTCAAGATGTAGTAGGAGTAAGTCCTTCAACTACCTCGATATCACCAGAAACTAGTGCCTCAAATGCAAAGTCAAAGGAGAAAGTACCCAGGATATTGAAACAGCTTCTTCAGGATGAAGGAGTCCAAAATATGCTTAAGAGTATGGGCGAAGAATCAATTACAGCACCAGAGGGATCACCGAGTGAGTCCAGCGTGCATAAGCTTCGTCCAAAAAGGCCATCAGAACCCATGCTGTCTTCCTCGCCAGAATTAGATGTTTTAGAGGCCTTCTTTTCTCCTACAACAAAGAAAAAGAAGCAGAGAAGTGAGCTGGACACTTTGTATATGGATGAAGGTGTCCTGAACCTATTAACAAGTCTAGAACCTTATTCCCGAAGACAGCCTCATCAAGATGATGCTGCCAGTGATATTTCCCAAGCCAGTAGCGCCAAGAGTGTAAAAGGAAGCAAGTCCTCTAAAGCTGCCTTAGATGTGCAGGCTGATGGGAGGAAGAGAAAACTTAGTGGAGCCAGCACTGTAAGCAATACCTCAACTAGATCTATGCAACCTCCAGAGTCTAAGAAACCACGTTTAGATAACCAGGAATCCCCCCTTGGAGACCCTTATGAACTAGACACAGCAGAAGAATTCAAGGACCTGTCTGAGAATCAGGAAACTAGCAATGTTGAACCAGTTCCTGCTCAGCCAGTAAGAAAGAGGGGAAGACCAACACTGCCACTATCTGTGAAACAAAAGAACAAAGCAATAAGAATGCAACTGAAACTCCAAAAACAGAAGCAGATGAAGGTGAATTCTGTTGTCAGCGCTCTACTTAGGGAGGATGATAATATGAACCTGGCACAGATTAAGGATGTGCTAAAGAGGGCCAGAGAAGCCATCAGCTCCCCATTAGAAGAAGAAATGGAGGAGGAAACACCCACCGGCAAGGCAGTTCCACCCATAAAGATTAAATTAGCTTCCGAAAGTGTAACCATTAGGCATATAAATCGACCAGGACCAGTTCAGGGTCAGCAGACAGCAGCAGCACCATTGGGAGGTGCTGTGGATGTACAGGGAATTAAACCAACACCTAAACCAATGGCAGTTGATGCATCTTGTAGTAGACCCTTAGCTAAAACTGTGACAGAGACTAGGATATCGCCAAAGACTTATACAGAGAAGACGAGGACTTATCCAGAACGAAGGACACCCCCTCCACAACAAAGAAGAATAGAGAACATCACCAGTCCTACAGCAGCAAGTAAGTACTAA